CGCTCCAACCTAGACTAATGCGTCGCTTTATTTCCCCTTCGCTACATGTGTTTGTCTGTACGAGTTCCCCTAAGTATATGTACTTGTCTACCACCTCGCGCTTCGCCTTGAGCATGTATCTGTTCGAATGGAACTCTACACTCATATATATTTATATATGTATATATATATGTGTGTATATATATATATATATATATATATATATATATATATATATATATATATATATACATACACACATACACACACACACATATATATATGTACATATACACACAAACATATATAAGTATTTGTGCATATATGCACACACACACACACACACACACACACACACACACACACACACACATATGCGATCAGGTGCAGGTATATACATATATATATACGGGTGAGCACTAATATGTAATCATAAACGTATGTGTGCTAACAAATGTACGTCAGAATATTATGGCTATATTTGTATGTACATGTATAGTCATAAAATATATGTACAGGATGTGTACAGGATGTGTACAGCATGTGTATTCGCATATATGTGGGTGCGCATACACATATAGACATATGCGCACAGCATATGCGCATGTGTCTATGTATGGGTATGCATGTGCATGTGTGTAGTTGTGTATAATGTAGGAGTATGTATGCATATCATATGCATAGGAGCATACGTAAAGGTGTATGTTTGCATGCGTATGTGCACGAAAATGAACATATACGTAGTATTTAGGATATTTGCGGGTGAACAACTATGTCTGCACTAGGCGTACATACGCATAAATAAAACCGGTATATAAAATATAATCACACATGTATCAGCTTCTGATACTCAAGCCCATGCTTACGGGAGTATACCATGGTGTCGTGAGCAGGGTCGTGCGTTGCTGCTTTTAAGCTCAAACTAGACAGGGCCAACACCGCTGAAGATGCTTATCTGTGGCATCCCGGCTAAACTACCCCCTCCCACCAATATACACCTAAGCCAGAGGGTGGGAGTAACTCAGCAGCCAAATTTAGCCAACTTAAGACCAGAGCGACAGAATTTAACCTGAACATCCAAAACAGATATTCACTTCTCAGCGACGAAGATATCAACTTTGACCAAATCAAGAAACAGATCAATGGCATAATAAACGAAGCTGCATTTGGCGTAGGCAGTAAGAACGTGAAACAAAACTCCAGTAAGCTCTCGATAGAAACTAAAGAACTTATGCAAAAGCGTTGGGTCATGAAAGTATCGTCAAACAGGGACAAAATGGAATTAGCTGAACTAACAAAGACTATAAATAAAAAGGAGAGAGAAGATGTATGGTATAGGCCTTATAATTGATGCAGAAGAAATTGCAGCAATGAAACTAGCCAATATTTTAAATGGAAAATGCAACAATTATTTTGATACATAAAAAGAAGATAGAAAGGATCTAAAAAACTACCAACCCATCAGCCTCCTTTCAGTTACTTACAGACTTTTCACAAAAGTCATCGCAACTCGCGATACCATCTCAGGAAATATTCAAGAAACTAGAATGAAACAGAAAAGGTATCAAAATAGGAGAAGAATACGTAAACAATCTAAGCTTTGCAGATGGTATTGTTCTCTTCAGTGAATCTGCAAATGAAATGTAGCAACTATAAACGATCTGAATAGAGAAAGTCCGAAAGTCTTATTATGAACAAGAAAGAGACTATCATGTTCAACAGTAGATTAAAAAAAAGTCTTTAATCAATACGTCCCCCCAGTTGTGGAATACAACCAAATTAATTGAGAGGAAACTAACGAGTGTCCAGAGAGGGATGGAGGGGTTGATGCTGAGAATTAGCCTAAGAGATCGGATGAGGGCGACGTGGATCAGGGAACAGACAAACGTGGAAGATATACTTAAAAATGGCAGGTCATATATATCGAAGACAGGACATCAGATGAGCAAAGAAAGTAACAGACTGGGTTATAGATAACCTAAAGAGGTCAAGGGCCAGATCTACTGACAACTTCCTGCAGTAGATTGGCTCAGGCTGATGATGATTATAATGAAATATGTATATATATAATGTATATATATATATGTTTGTGTGTTTGTACAGACAAACGCATTTACACGATAGAATATACATTAAAAAGGTTAATATGGGAATAATAGTCTCTATATATATCCTTGCATTTGTTTTATTTTTTTATTGTAATTACTGTATAATTCGCCTCCATATGTACATCATTTCTTATCTATAAACATCAAGAGACTCAGACTGTAAAACATATTTTCGTTTGTGAAAAAAATAAAATTTCCGCTTCTCTGTATCATCATGACTTGTGGTGACAAAGGTGTGTTTAGTATGTATGTGTATTTACTCTCTCGCTTGTTTATATGAAAGCCAGTTTGTGTGTTTTGTGCGCTCTCTATCTTTATATAATGTATTTATATATATTAAGTATATTGTTTTGTTTTCCTCTATAGATTCAGTAATTTTATATAAAAATCTTTAGTATAGGCATTTAATAATTTATGCGCTATATATATACGCACACACATACACACACACACACACACACACACACACACACACACACATACATATATATATATATATATATATATATATATATATATATATATATATATATATATATACATATATACATATACATACATACACACACACACACATACACACACACACACACACACATTCATACTTGTATTCATATATATGTATTTCCGCATACATATATGCATATATGTAAGTATATATATATATATATATATATATATATATATATATATATATATATATATATATATGCATATATATACACACACAAACATATATATATATATATATATATATATATATGAATGTATGTATGTGTATGTACGTACATATATATATGTATAAATATACACGTATATATCTGTGTGTGTGTGTGTGTGTGTGTGTGTGTGTGTGTGTGTGTGTGTGTGTGTGTGTGTGTGTGTGTGTGTGTGTGTGAGTATACATACATATATATATAAACATATGTACACACACACACACACACACACACACACACACACACACACACACACACACACACACACACACACACACACACACACACACACACCTTACTATACACAAGCATATACTCACATATATAAACATCAAGTACACAGATTCATTTTTCTTTTACAGATGCTTGTCCATGTACATGTATGCACAAAAGTCTCCAGAGATTTATGTACCTAAAGTGACATACTTTTTATCCTCTTTTTATCTAATATAATAACACTATGTGGTTCTATAGTTTGTAGAAAATAGAGTGTTCAAAAAATAGAAGATATGAGGCATAAAAATAGAAGAAATAGTGTGAAAAAAAGATTCCTTCTCAAGCTCCGAGCTGTGTTGAGATATAAGACACATTCATACAGTGTAGACACAGCTCTGTATACTTACACTGCGAAGATACAGCCTACCCTGCACACACCAACCCATGTCGTGTGCGTAACCGAGTTCTGTATAAGAATCACAATATTTCTCTAACTTTTTTGGGTTTTGTGAAATGACAATATATCTTCTCTCTATATCACACACGCGCGCCTATACTTTCATACAAGTAATACCATATCGTCATTGCTTATACCCAGTTTGTGCATTCGTTCCCTAATACAGTTTACTTATCTTATCAACTAATTCATCCAAGTGTCATTTCTAATTCTAATGTGACCTTTTTTTTAATATGGCATGATAAAGAGAACAACAAAGTCATTAATTATGGAGTACAATGCAATAAATAATCTTGATGATTAGCATGGTATCGAGTAGGGTATCACATTTTTGAATACACTAAAACAGGTTAATAAAATGAACAAAATACACACACAAGTACAAATAACTTATATACATATATATATACATATACATATATACACATATATACATATATATATATGTATATTGTAAGGAAGACAGTGTGTCACCATTTCAGTATTCCTAAAAGTAAAATTTCTTTCTTCCAGTGTTTCTGAACTGCAAGTTTGTAGCTTAAAACCACAAATCACAATCATCTTTCAAACTTGCACACAGTTATACTGAATTATGATATCACATTTATTTTTGGACACCCAGGCTATGTACATAATGCGAACATGAAATTTGCTACTAATAGAAAAAGGATCCAGGGTTTGCATACTGTCTTTATTCATTTGTTCGAAAGTCCTGCCGCGTGGTCTCTGTAGTCACTGTGTTGCCAAGGGCTAATACTTTATCTAACAAACACCAATCAGGCCATTCCCAGAACTGATATGTATAACAACAAGGAAAGTTGCAGGAAACAGTTTTGCTCCTGATTTGCATCACCAACTTTTTTCTCCAAAAACACTTATGTATTTTTGCTGATATTCAGAGTAAAACGATTTAGACCCTCGTGTATGTTTATTGTATGTTTGTTGTGTGTGTGTGTTTGTTTGTAAGTGTGTGTGTGTGTGTGTGTGTGTGTGTGTGTGTGTGTATGTGTGTGTGTGTATGTGTGTTTGTGTGTGTGTGTGTGTACTCAGTTTGTGGAAACCTCAAGCCTCTTCTTCGTTGGTAGTTTGCTATTTATCTATCATAGGAAGTTCGAGGGTTTAAAACTACCTGATTTGCAAATAAGAGAATATATATTTTTTTCGCTCACAGTGTTTTCTCTCTCCATGTTTCCTTTCTTTGGGGAAGGCCGAAGTTCCTGGTGCTTCCCAAACCTGCACAGCAAACCTGCGAGTCTCTATTATTTATTGTCATTTAAAAATATATATATATATTTACTCTTCTTAATGAATGTCACCTGCCATTACACAAAGACTTGGTTTTTCTTCCTGAGAATAATGTCGCTTGCTAGCACATGGGACGCTTTGGTGACCGAGCCTTCACTCACGGCGCCGTCTCTGCCCTTTGAGCCATTTTCACGACATTCGCCATAGTTCGTAAGACTTATCTTAGCTTCGCTCACACAGTTAGCCACCGAGATTCTCCTCTTCGTTGCGTCTCCGGTGGTTCTGTTGTTCTCTGCCGAGGAAAAGATTTCTACGGATTTTCCTCTCGTTATCTTCGGCAAGAGGGACGCTCTTTCCGAAGGAGTGGACTTTCCCGGATAAGCGTTGTGGCCTCCTTGGGTTTCGGTAATGTCTTCCACACTGGCCCCTGAATGGCCATTTCTCTTTTGCATAGCTTCGTATTTGGTAGCATTTTTGTTCGTTACCGCGGGTTGCTGCACGTCATCTGTCGGATTTTCGTAGATACTCATATTTTCCGAAAGTTCTCCCTGGAATTTGGTTTCTATGCCATTTTCTTTTATTTCACTGCACTCGTCAATGTAAGTGAGAGAAGGTTGCGTGAAGTCTCTCGTATCTAACAAAACAAAGGAGTCCGCGGCCTTTTTCTCATGCTTAGAATTGGTTTGTCTCTCAAATGACATTCTGTTCAGGTTCGCTGTGGTGTTTTCTGCTGTGCTGTCTTTGGCTAAAGCGGGCTGCACTGAATTGTCTGGCGCGGAAGAATGCGTTTCTGTTGCCTGTTTTGTCACTGGGTGAGAATTATTCACACGTGTCAAGTTCGCTTTAGTCGAGGAAACGCCGTCGGAAGTGTTAGTCGCATACGCCTGCCTGTTGGAATTTGACAAAGACGGATTTGCAGTGGTTCCTTGTTGCTCTTCGAAACACTGGCTCCCTCGAGACCTCCGGGAGCTCCTAGCGATGTTGGCTTCCACGGGAGATGTCTCAGAAGGCCCTCCTGCCGTGGCCTTTCCTGCCCCCGAAGGAGCGTCCTCGTTGTCTCGAAGGGCCATGCTGCTCACCGCGTCGCTCACGTTCCCGCTCCTCACGTCGATGTTCTTGGCCGTCACAAGGATCTTCTGGATGGGGACTGCTTCCGACGCCCTCTGAGCGCTGGCACCCGATCCTCCTGCAGGAGCAGGAGAAGGGTCCTTCTGGGCAGGCCTTGGAGGAAGGGGGTTTGATCCTACAGTGAGCACGTCTCTGACTGACGCAGCTGTGGGTCGGCGGAGCAGAGCACCTTCTTCAGGTCTCAGGGCGTAGGCGGAAGCTGCGTTACGGAGCTCCGAAGCGGGCGGGTCCTGGGGTGTCGTCACCAGGTAGGTAACCAAAGTGCCTTTGCCCTTGATGGCGCGCGGCCCGCGGCACTCGCACTTCCAGCCGGCTCCTTGGAAGATGGCTGCCGTCTCCTCAGTTACCTAAGGAAAAGACAAAATGTAATTACTTTCCGATTCATTCTCTCTCTCCCTCCCTCCGTACCTTCCCTTCTCCCATTCATCTACAGACGATAATATTTTCGTTCCGATACTGACTCAAGAAGTCGCACCAAATCTTGTTTATGAACGTACCAGTATCTCACTTTATTTTACACCATATTGATATTCATAATCTGTTTCACAAAGAATTTATTTATCTAATCTTATCATTTTTTCTTCTTCTTTTCACTTAAACATACCGGCCTTCCCTTCACCTTAGTGGAACTGCCCGCGTCCTTCCCCTTTGTTTCAACTTACCTGTATTCTACCCATGACGCCGGTGGAATCCATTCTCGAGGCAACGTTCACAGTGTTCCCCCAGATGTCGTACTGCGGCTTCTGAGCGCCCACGACACCAGCGATGACGGGACCGTGTGCTAGGCCTATTACAGGAAGGAAAGGGGATGAAAAGAAATGAGAAAGGGTTCAGTGAAACGGGTTGAATTAATCATAATGTGATGGCGATGTGGTATTGATGATGGTGATGATCACACACACACGCAATTACGCACGCACGCACAGACGCACACACACACATACACCGCACACACACACACACCAAACACACACACACACACACCACACACACACACACACACACACCACACAAACACACACACACAGAGGCACATTTACATGCTATATAACCAACCTTTCCATACATACACCGCTACAGAATCCCCTGTTCAAACTTACCAACGCGTAGTTTGAAGTTCTGAAAACTCTCCCTGTTAATGGAGTCAAGCGCAGCCGCCATGGCCAACGCAAACTCCACGAGCAGAACTAAACAGTATTCTGTCCTGTCTCTCGCCTGTCGAAGTAAGATAGAATAAGATAAGAAAAAAAGAGACAATGAGAGATTTTAATTTTTTTATTACATAATAAAATATGATTGTAGCTCTTAAAAGAATTGATGTTCAGTTAAGGACATTCAGGTTAACTACAGGAAGGAAAGGTTAAACTATTCCCTTGTAATCTCTGAGCGTTCTGAACAGGTTACCATGAATTAAGGATATTTTTTTATCATGAAATATGATGTGGAAAGAATACATTTTTTTGGTTAATGATAACATCGATATATTACTACATATTTGTAAATTTGAAACATGAACCTGCGCTCGCTATTAATACATTTATAACCCGGGTAATTTATTTAATTTAGTATCATTCTTGGCGTAACCCATTATACAATGTAAACTCCACACTCTTCAGTCTATGGTTACTGCCTCAGAACCCCTCTGTGGCGTGCAAAAATACCCTTTACTCCATTTCTACCTTTTCCATCGCGATACTAATTCATAATCCTATATTTATTCTAACCATTAACCATTTCCCTTATGGTATTCCAAATCTTAAGCAATTTGATGTTTACTTTAATGTTTTTAATCATACAATAACTTCAATAGAAGGTATACCCTGAAAAAAAGTATCACAAATAAATCTATATACTAACATAACTCCCAAAACAGAAAATTAATACTTACATTTTCAAAATCCTTTACAGTGCAACGGAAAGAAGATTTAAAAAAATACGGGTTATGAGTCGTTATTGACACACGGAGGAAATACCACTTAATATTGAAGAAAAGAGAAGCAAAAGTGTGTGGCTAGCAAGTACAGAAGAGCCTGTTTACTGTGAGACCTATTGGATAACACGTGACAAAAATATTAGTATGTGAGTTAAAGGTATGTAACCTATTTTACGTATCATTCAAGAGAAAAAGAGGGAGAGGGAGAAAGAAAGAGAGAGAGAGAGAGAGAGAGAGAGAGAGAGAGAGAGAGAGAGAGAGAGAGAGAGAGAGAGAGAGAGAGAGAGAGAGAGAAGGAGGAGAGGGAGAGGGAGAGACAAGGAGAGGAAGAGGGAGAGACAAGGAAAGAGAGAGATAGGGGGGGGAGACAGAGAGGTAGAGGGAGAGAGAGAGAGAGGAGAGAGAGAGAGAGAGAGAAGGAGAGGGAGAGAGAGAAGGATAGGGAGAGAGAAAGAGAGAGAGAGGGAGGGAAGAGAGAGAGAGAAAGGGAAGAGAGAGAGAGGGGGGAAGAGAGAAAGAGAGAGGGAAGAGAGAGAAAGAGAGAGAAGGAAGAGAGAGAGAGAGAAGGAGAGAGATGGGGAGAGAAGGAGAGAGAAGGAGAGAGAGAGAGAGAAAACAGAGAGAGAGAGAAAGAAAGAGAAAGAAAGAGAGAGAGAGAGAGAGAGAGAGAGAGAAAGAGAGAAAGAGAGAGAGAGAGAGAGAGAGAGAGAGAGAGAGAGAGAGAGAGAGAGAGAGAGAGAGAGAGAGAGAGAGAGAGAGAGAGAGAGAGAGACGACCAGATAGAAGAGAAGAAGAGCAAGTAGAATAAAAGTAAGAGAGAGACAAGGGAAGAGTGAGAGAAAAAACACAGCGAAAAGAGTGAAACGAAAAGACTAAAGCTAAGGGAAAAAACTAAAAGACGAAAGCTAAAAGTGAAACATACAGAATAAAGATACAAGTGAAAGACAGACAGAATAAAGATAAGTGTGAAAGACAGACAGACTAAAGATACGAGAGAAAGACAGATAGAATAAAGATACGTGTGAAAGACAGACAGACTAAAGATACGAGTGAAAGACAGACAGAATAAAAATACGAGTGAAAGACAGACAGAATAAAGATACGAGTGAAAGACAGACAGAATAAAAATACGAGTGAAAGACAGACAGAATAAAAATACGAGTGAAAGACAGACAGAATAAAAATACGAGTGAAAGACAGATAGAATAAAGGTAAGAGTGGGATAACCAGAATGAATGCCATAGCAAAGCAAACAGAATAAAGGTAAACAGAATAAAGGTAAGAGCGAGACAGACGAAAATGGAATCTTACATTCTCCTTGCCCGGATGAAGACCAGCTGCCACCATGTACGTGCTACCGATGGTCTTGATTTTTTCTATGACGCTAAATTTCGGCTTCGCCAACAGCTGCGGGGGTAAAGATTTCGTTATTGACATCGTGAGGTTTTCCATGAATGAGGTGTGCAGTCTGAGGTAATGTGTGTGTGTGTGTGTGTGTGTGTGTGTGTGTGTGTGTGTGTGTGTGTGTGTGTGTGTGTGTGTGTGTGTGTGTGTGTGTGTTTGTTTCACAGCATGGTTGCATTTTTCCGTTTTTCTTTTTTCTTTTCTTTTTCTTTCCTTCTCTCTCTCTCTCTTTCTCTGAATAAACGCTTTTCTTTTCTTTCTCATTTATCTCTTTCTATGTCTCCTTCCTATCCTCCCCTTCTCTCTAAATGTATATATACATATGTATAAATATACATATATACACACATATATGTGTAAATATATATATATATTTACATACATATATATGTATATATATATATACATGCATATATATACACACATACATATATATGCAAATATAAATATACATACATATATATATGCATATTTAAATATACATACATACATATACTTATATACATACACACACACATGTATATATACATATGTGTATGTATCTGTGTAAACATACATATATGCATATATATACATATATATACATATAAATATATATACATACACATATATATACATATACATACATATAAGTAAATATATGTATATATATGTATATATGTATACATATAATGAGTCTAACCATTGCATCTGGCAATTGCGTAGCGACAGAGGGACCTCAGCCCTGGAAGCGGCCCCTCGACAGCGCGAGTCGAGGCAGCCCCCCCCCCTCCCCCCTAGCCCGTGATACCAGGCGCCCACGACATCCAGGGTCAAGGCTGCCTTCCCGCCGCCGCCCAGGACCAAGGGCACTGATGCATCTTGGGGACGTTTAGTCTCCCTCTCAAACAAAACACTGATGAAACCGGCGAAGACAGTGACGGCAGTAAAAAAAGTATATCAGTTCAGATCAGCGGTGAAACCAATGATGACAATAGAGGAGAAAGCCGCTTATCAGAACGACAGCGTAGCAACAGCGGTGAACACTACCCTGTGATTCTCTGCGACAAGTAACAGCATGGGTAAGGTTGGTCTTGTGCGACCTGATTAGAAGATAAGCAAGAGAGGGGAAGGGGAAGGAGGAGAGAGAGAGAGAGAGAGAGAGAGAGAGAGAGAGAGAGAGAGAGAGAGAGAGAGAGAGAGAGAGAGAGAGAGAGAGAGAGAGATTAAAACGACTACAGTCAAATCACAGATCAGCCAAGGTGCGGTACCTCTGTCCTTCCCGCTCGCGTCCGTTTTCCCTGGCAGAACGAGTTACGCCTCTTCCCCACAACGTCAGGAAGGCACACCTATTCTCTCTCACTCCCCCTCCCCCACTCTCCTCCCTTGACACTCCCCTCCCCTAGTACTCCCCTTCCCCCACTCTCCCTCCCCTAATAGTCCCTCTCCCCCACTCTCCTCCCTTAACACTCCCTCCCTTCCAAGCTGACCCATGATCTAGCTAATGCGCTTCAACAGCAACGCTTCAACATCCACACCCAGTTCGAGAAAAGAAGCGTCAGCTCGTGTGCGATGCATGGAAGCTACATTCAGTACAATAACAGAAGAAAAAGGCAAGAAAATTTGTCAATTGCCCAAACAACACATTACTACGTGCCAGGTGTCCCTACCCCTCCGCTACCTCTAATAGTCCAGGAACTCCTATGCAGAACAAGTGAAAGCACAGTGTGAACTAAACGAGCAGTAAGAACCCTACTAGCAACATGTCAAGAGAGAGAGAGAGAGAGAGAGAGAGAGAGAGAGAGAGAGAGAGAGAGAGAGGGGGGGGGGGAGAGGGAGGGAAGGAGGAAAGGTGGGAGGGAAGGTGGGGGGGAGGAAGAGAGAGAGTACTATAGCAGGGGAACGTCACACCTCAAAAGCATTGCAAAGCAGTTTTCTTATACGTTATAAGCTGTCACCCTGAAATAAATGAAGAAAATTCTGGAGACCCTCTAGCTGAATAATAATAATAATGATAATAAAAACATTTATCAAATATAAAAGCATATAATACAAATATGACATACCTACTAATTAACTTCCCTACTACCTATACGAAAAAAAAACGGAATTACAGATTTGGACTTCTTTCCCGACACTGCAAAGGCATTCATAAATAGATATAAATGAAAAAAAAGGGACCAGCATGTATGACGTCACTAGACAGCCATAAATACCGGCTGCCATTCCACACACCAGCGCAGTCTCTCGTCGTCAGTGAAACCTCGAGTTTGTGTCTATGTTTGAGCTCTACAAGTCAAGTAAGAGCTATATAAATGTGAAAAAAGAAGATATATAAAAAAAACATCTGTAGAAGACATCTGGGTAAGAGTTAAGAGGAATATGTATCATTTAACTACCTCGATTTTCTTTTCCATTGGCTACCTAATGACAAAGACAAAGTTAAGTGGGTGCAAGAAGAAGAAAAAATCAAAACGATTTATAAAAAAGCACTACAAGAAAAAAGGAAACACCTAGCCAGAATTAAACGTTACGATATCAAACAAACCTAACCCATCCTCCCATGTCAAATAACCTTAGCTATAAAGATGGCAGAGTGACAATCAAAAACTTCCCGTTGATCTGACACACTATATGTTCCCCAAATCAGCCTAAATATTATCAAGCAGTCAATTCCCTCTGAGATATTATTAGCAGATGACGTTGACAGACGAGTAAATATTTTCACTGTTAAAATAATATAGCAGTCACCGCTCCGTATAAGACCAGTATTCTTAGACGCTTTCCTGCTCCGCCGACCCGAGGTTTGAAATCTTTTATTTCAAAATATGAGAAACATTTCCAGCCTGAATACGTTTAAGACAATAAGACGATATTCAAAGAGTGCTTTCTAAATTTTCAATAACATTAGACCGTTAGATACAAGGCTAAAAACTGCGTATAAATGGCTTTTGATTTTAATATTTTGTAACTTTCCTACATATGTTTGATATTGCTTCTGGTTATTCCATATCACTGTACTATGTAACTATACACGTAAAAGAATAACCATTGTAGGTAATGGAACACAGAGTAATTTGAATTCTCTCTCTCTTTCCTTCATCTCTCTCTCTCTCTTCCTCTCTCTCTCTTTCTTTCCTTCCATCCTCTCTCTCTCTCCATTTCCCTTTCCCTCTCTCTCCTTCCCTTCCCCTTCTCTTTCTCTCCTTCTCCCACTTCCTCTTTCTCACCGCGCTACCTAAACGCGTAGAAGGGAAAACCAGGTTACCGAATGGAACTTCCTGAACTGAACAGCGTCTGCATACCGTATGTACTAGTGTTCCCCGTTTTTTTTACAATCATTGTCATTTTTCGTTGTTTTTTTTTTAATATGTATTGTAATTTTCTCTCATTGCCTTTACTTTTTTTTACTCATTTCAATCATCATCATCAGTGTAGCAATAATATAATAGATTATAACAATATTATATAATAATATCAATAACACTAATAATGATAACGATGGCATACAAAAAAACAAAACAAAACAAAACAAAAAAACAAAAAAAAAACAATAATATCAGTAACACTAATAATGATATTTAGATAAAGAACGAAAACAGCAGCAACAGGAACACACAAAAATTACATATTCAGACAGCATACAAAGCTTTGCATCTAGAACTGCTTGTAATTCTACCTTTCACCTCTCCCACACTTGCTCCTAGCCTTCCTTCCACTTCCACTTCCACTTTATCGTTCTCATCCTTCTCCCTCCATTCGCTTTCACCCGTTCAGTGTTGCCATTGCTTTTTCCACTAAATCGCTAATCTAGACCTCAAAAAAAGCGCTAGATATAGCGAGTTAAAACTAAAAAGGACAAAATAATCCCTGAATGTTGAGTAAACTTTAAACAAAATCCGTAAAAAATAATACCCAAATAAAGAGCAGAAATAAAATAATAAACAAATAAAACATAGAAAGATAAATTAATAAATAAAGATTAAATAAAAATCATGACGCTAAACGCTAACGCAACACCGTTAGATCAAGCGGAAAAAAATCGCCAGAGCGGGAACGCTGATTACCTCATCATAATCGTAAATAATCTCATTCAGCAAACGTAAACACTCGAGGCCCTGTTTGTTGACGTCAGTTTCATCATAAAACTCCTTGTAGTTGGGGATAGAGGCGAACATGACACCTACGCTGCTGTATCGTTCGTGGTAGAGTTCCTGTTGGTAAAAGAAAGATTTTATTTATTTATTTTTATTAATTATATTTGGTCAATATGTAGTACAAGGTAGTGGTAGAGTTGGGTAATAAAACCTACATGAAATGATAGAGTAATACAAACCAAGACAAAGTTCTCCTATGGCAATATGTGTGCAAATGCTTCCCAAGGCTGCTATACATAAAATAGAAGATCCCCCCCAGTTAGTATGTAAAAGAGGGTACTGGGTTACTTTCGAAATAATTTTAATATTTTTCTGCATGAAATCCACTGCTTTCAATAATTCTAAGCACTGTACCTTGTGCAAATGAATCGTTGAGGAGATATGATACCCATCTCCATCGACAATCTTGATTTGATAGTCCCGATAGCAGGGGAGGGCAGGAAGTATATCAGGGAAATTATGGGGTAAAACAGGACCCCCGTGGTTCTTAAACAAAACGTCCTAACCCAACACCCAACCTAACCTAACACCGTGGTACATATTCCCTAGCCAGGGGGCTCCGCCTCCTGGATCCCCGTTAGTAATATATAAGCCTAACCAGAGGGCTATGCCCCCTGGACCCCCGTGGTAGTATATGCGCCTAGAATTCACCCTCGCAATGTAAACAAGATGAGCGACTTAGCCAAAATTGGGGGATCTTCTCTTTCCTCTTACGTACAGCACCCTTGGGAAGCTTTTGCACACATATTGCCGTAGATGAACTTTGTCTTGGTTTGTATTGTTCTGCCATTTCATGTAGGTTTTATTACCTAACTCTGCCACTACCTTATATTATATATTGTCCCATTTATCATTACCATCATCATTACAAAAAACAGAAGGAAAAAAAGGTGAATATAAAGACAGAAAGAAATTTAAAAAATAAAGTAAAAGAAAGTAAAAGAGCAAGAGAGAGAGAGAAAAAAAAACAGAGATAGAGACAGAGACAAAGACAGAGAGAGAGAGTAACTGGGCAGAGAGAAAGTAAAAGAACAAGAGAGAGAGGGAGGAAGGAAGGAGAGAGAGAGAGAGAGAGAGAGAGAGAGAGAGAGAGAGAGAGAGAGAGAGAGAGAGAGAGAGAGAGAGAGAGAGAGAGAGATAGATAGATAGATATATATAGAGAGAGAGTGAGAGAGAAAGTAAAAGAAAGAGAGAGAGAGAGAGAGAGAGAGAGAGAGAGAGAGAGAGAGAGAGAGAGAGAGAGAGAGAGAGAGAGAGAGAGAGAGAGAGGGAGATAAGCGAAAAGAAAAAATAAGAAAACCCAAGTCCCCAACCTTGGGCGTATCGCAGATAAACCGATCCACCAGATGCACCGGCAGGATGTTCTCGAGGAGTATCTTGTTAACATTCTTCATTCGGTCCACTTTTTCCTGTTCTTCCATAACTTGGTACGCCCACGTGTGCTGTGCCCGCGCCCTTGCCTCGCTCTGGCCGCCCAGCACGCCGAGGACGCCCATCAGCATCATAGCTTGGACGCCCATCACAGCCCACCACGAGACGCCGGGCAAGCTGTCAAGAAAAAGTAGACGTTGCTGTGGTAATTAGATATATATTTTTTATTGACATCTTTTTTTGACGTGTTTAGAAAGAATGAAATTTGGTTTTTATTAAAATGAGAAGTTTTAGGAATACTATCCTGTTTCCTTCTTTTTTTTCTTGACGTGTTAAGAAAGAAGGAAAGTTGTTGCTGTTAAGAGGGGAAATTTTAGGAATACTCCTGTTTCTTTGTTTCCTTTTTTTGACGTTTTGAGAAAGAGAGAAATTTGTTTTTATTAAGAGGGGAAACTTTAGGAATATCATCCCCTACAGAACCCCTAAATCTCGAAGAGCCCACTAGAACGGTAGAGAACCTCCCAGAACCCTAGAACCCCAAGAGAACCTCATAGAACCCCGACCCCCCCCACTGAGAGCCCTCAAATCCACACCCCACCCCCCTACAACCCCCAAATCACCGGTAGAACCCCCAAGAACCTTCCCCCCAGAGAACCTTACTCACTTCATGTACGTATGCGTCAGGAACGGCAGCAGGAGGTGGTTCTCGGAGTGCAAGAAGGCGAAGACGTGGGCGCCCGTGACTGACATCATGACGAAGAGCTTAGTGAGGGCGCCGATGCGGGGGAAGACAGCCGCCACGCCGACGGAGATCAGGGACGCCCATACCCATAGCTGCGGGGGGGAGGGAGGGGAGACGAAGGAGATTGGGAAGGGATGAAATTGAGGGGGAGGAGAGAGGGAGGGAAGGAGGAGGAAGTGAAGGAAGAGGAGGAGGAGGAGGAGGGGGAGCAGGAGGAGGAGGAGGAGGAGGAGGAGGAGGAGGAGGAGGAGGAGGAGGAGGAGGAGGAGAGAGGGAGGGAAGGATGAGGAGGAGGTGGTGGGGAAAGAGGAAGATTGAGAAGAATGAGAAGAGGGAGAGAGAAGGCAAGGGAGGAAGATGGATTAATGAATAGGTGAATTAATCAATGGATGGATGGATGGATGGAAGTAGGGAGGGAGGGGGAGGTGGAGAGAGAGAGAGAGAGAGAGAGAGAGAGAGAGAGAGAGAGAGAGAGAGAGAGAGAGAGAGAGAGAGAGAGAGAAAGAGAGAGAGAGAGACAGACAGGCAGACAGACAGAGACAGAGAGAGAGAGAGAGAGAAAATGTCAAAACGGCAGATATTTAGGAAGACGGGGAGGTAGTGAAAGAGTGAGGGACAAAGAAAAAAATATATATTTAAAGGATGGTTCTTAGAGATAAACAATAAAGACCACATTTTCGCGGTTTATTGCAAACACCGTCACAAAATCAATCCTCAAGTAAAAAAAAAAAAAAAAAAAAAAAAATTGAACATAAGAACAAAAATTTCTTGTTCACCTCAGCGTTCTGCAGAACACGTTCAGGCGGCGTCAGGATTGGCAGGGAAGTGTTCACGTTGACAGGCTGCGGTTCGATCGTCATTTGCTCTCCGGCTGATTCTGGAACAACCTGATAAACGGAAATATTGTTTATCTATTTATCTATCTATTTATTTTTTAGTGTCGGTTGTGATTTGCTAGAGTTATTAATTTCTCGTATTTTTGTAGAGCTATATAATAATAATAATTATTATTATTATCATTATCCTCATTATTATATTATGTCGATTTTCGATTGGTGAAGTCATTTTGATTTGTTTTGCGTATGTGTTTTGTTGTTACGTTATAAAATTCATGGTTCAATATCATTATTCTTTATTTGTTTATTTTAGTTATTTATTTTTAACAAACTTTTATTTCATGTGGCAGTGAGAAAAGAGTAGAAAAAATAGAAAGTCGATTTCTTAAAAACCAACAAGCCGTAGGTAAATTTCGTTACTATTTTTTCATCTCTAGTATAGTTAGAAATGAGGAGAAATGGAGAATACTATCTGTTTTAGAATGGATATCATTGTTTTAATAAGTAATTTCAAAGTCTCATGAATTACCACGCCAAAGATTACATAAACATTTGAGAATGAATATGATAGATTGTGGAGTAGATAATCTTCATGCGCGGTCACACGAGCGTTTTTTTTTCAGCAACCAGTTTGTGATATGATCCGCCATTCGAAGCTACCCTGTCGGCTATTTCCCAACTCGCTTGCACGGGCTAACAGAACCACCGCCAATGCACTTGATTTCAGCGTTGAACATGGCGTCGACGGTTGCACGCACGGCCCTCCTTGTAGGTTATTTGGCTTTTACTGAAGAAATGGAGGCTCAAGTATTACTAAAACGTCGTATGTGGGTCCGTCTGTGGTTGTAAGGAAGAAATAGTGATAGTGTTTATCCTAATCGGCAGCAAGAACTTCGTTTGGTGGATAGAACTAGGCAAGCTCTTTTGAGAAACTTGGAAGACCCGCACATGTAAACAATGATGACGTCACGAATACTCCAATGAGTTTCCCTTTCAAGATAAGCATACCTGCAAAACATATGGACAGAGAATGCAATATCTAAAACACATTAATTGAAATATATATGCTATAGACTCTCTTGCCCTGTCCGTTTTGCCGATTTTCGAACGGTACATAACGTCCGCCTCTAATGCAGACCAAGTAGAATTTGAGGAAATTTAAAGTTACCGCCCATTTACTGTTGAAAAAAACGCTTGTGTGACCGCCCTTATATTAGTTGTATGCTTCAACTTATTTGCTGTAGTGGCCTGTAACTTAATACTTTTTTTTTAATTAGTAAGTTTAGCATGCGCATGAGGCCTAAATTTGGGTAAATCTCACACGTGGCGGAACCTCAATATAGAGTAGTGCAAGAAGTCTTTTTTTAATCATTAAAAGGAGCGAAAGGTAAAGGAGTGATGAACCACTAAAATAGTTGGAGGCTTGAAATGACGCAGTGAAGCTAAACACAGCACGTGTTGTAAACGACTGTAGGGCTGTTTGATGATAATACTAAATTTAAGCGAAAGCGAAAGGTTTCAAGTTATAATAATTTTCACCAAAAGCCTCTAGTTTGAAAGATAAACAAACAAAAACATCTATATATGTATATATATATATATATATATATATATATATATATATATATATATATATATTCGTGTATAAAGCAAAAACACTACAATATCTAACACTTACTATCCACGACAAGGCCAGGAGTGTGCCAGCAATCACCACGCAGGCAGACGTGACAATTCTGGCCCACCACTTGCGTATGACGGTCTTACGGCCACACGACCACGACCACTGGGCCACCAGGAGGACGACGCCCGCGCACAGGGCCACGGCGATCCACAACTGCCATAACCTGGGTGTATATGGACATGCTTATGTTTTTTTTTTTTTTTTTTTTTTTTTTTTTTTTTTTTTTTTTTTTTTGTGTGTGTGTGTGTGTGTGTGTGTGTGTGTGTGTGTGTGTGTGTGTGTGTGTGTGTGTGTGTGTGTGTGTGTGTGTGCGCGTGTGTGTGTGTGCGTACGTGTGCTGTGTCTTTGTACCTGTATAGCAATGAACAGATCTCATCCATGTATGAGTGTCCAGAACTCTCACTTCCTGAAGTCAAGAGAGAAAACGGCACACTTTAACCCGCAGAGAAAGGAGTGTGTGTGTGTGTGTGCGTGTATCTCTTGTGTGTGTGTGTGTGTGTGTGTGTGTGTGTGTGTGTGTGTGTGTGTGTGTGTGTGCGTGTATTGTGTGTGTGTGTGTGTGTGTGCGTGTATTTCGTGTGTGTGTGTGTGTGCGTGTATTCCGTGTGTCTGTGTGTGTGCGTGTGTGCGTGCGTGTTTGTGTGCGTGTGTATTTCGTGTGTGTTTGTGTGTGTGCGTATACAAACTCTCCCTGCTTCTTCACACTGAAGTTTGCCCCCTGAACTCGAGAGAGAAAACGGCACACTTTAACCCACAGAGGATAACACACGCCCCAATATAACCTGTGTTGTTATCATTCCTTGTTGTAAACAGTTTGTAGCTTTATGCGTCAGCCGTGATTTCTTCCTGCTGTTTTTCGTGTGTGTGTGTGTGTGTGTGTGTGTGTGTGTGTGTGTGTGTGTGTGTGTGTGTGTGTGTGTGTGTGTGTGTGTGTGTGCGTGCGTGCGTGCATTCGTACGAGTGTATGTGTGTTTCATATAGTTATAATTAAAATATAGCCAATATTTCTCTCCATCAACTATTTGACAACTTGAATAATACAACCACGGTTTATTTTGATATCGCTGTGTGAAAGCCTACAGTGCAGAGAACAGAGGACCACTACAAATCTCTCTTACTCTCTCTTTGTCTAATCCATCTCTGTCCCTAATAACAAGAGTAAACATGATATATGGCCACAACGGAGTCATTAGCATCAAAAGCCTAAGACAAGAATGAAATACACGCACGGACGCAAGCACGCACGCACACACACACAAACAAATGAGTATATATAAAAATAAATATCACTATCAGTTCTAAAAGATATTGTCTATACATCCACACAGCGAATAAACCACATAACCCCAACCAAAACAACAACAACAAAAAAACAAATACAAGTAAAACAAAACAATAATCTCTCAAACACAACTCAAAAAAAAAAAACAAAAAAACTTCCTCCTGAAACAAGAACGCAAAAGCGCCTTTGACCTTACACGCCGCTGCCTGACTGACCTCGCGGGAAGCGCCGTGGCCACCAGAGCTGCAATCAGGATCACCAGGAGAGATGCAACAGCGAGGGCGTAGTGGTGAATGGGGTCGGGCTTGCGTCTGTACTCTATCTCCTTCTGGCATCCCCACCAGCCGCTGTACCACGACCTGTAGGAGGCATTGCAGAAGAATTATTTTAAAAGGGGGCGGGAGGCGTGGTGTTTGGGTGGGTGGGGATTTTTATACATTCTTTATTTTGTGTATATAGTTTTTTTTTTGTTTTTTGTTTTTTCAATTGATATATGCGTGTATGTGAGTGTATGTGTGTGTGTGTGTGTGTGTATGTGTATGTTTGTGTGTATGTGTGTTTGTGTGCGTGTGGGCCAATGGTTTCTGGGTCCAAATTGTTGTAATTAGAATATATGCAATTATGCTTCTGTGTTTCCTATATGATAGCCTTTATACATCCATACAGCGAAGAGGTTAGGTCCAGTTGTGGAAGAGAGAGAGAGAGAGAGAGAGAGAGAGAGAGAGAGAGAGAGAGAGAGAGAGAGAGAGAGAGAGAGAGAGAGAGAGAGAGAGAGACAGACAGACAGACAGACAGAGAGAGACCTACGCATCGCAGTACCCTTCGACAATGTAAAAAAAATAAAATAAAATAAAAAATAAAAAATAAAAGATACCTTGCAACGCATACGTATAGTTAACAAAGAAACACCGCCATTCCTCCCATTTCCGTTTCCTACAGATTTCCTAAAAATCTTTATGTTGTCGGTTTATCTTTATCCTGAATAACATCCTGTTGACTTCCATTTACTTATCGGACTCAAAATATATATATTAAAATAATAATATGTATCTTTCCCCGACTTGATGCAGCATACGCAGATATATATATTTTTTTCATCTCGCGATGATGCTGGTAGTAATGACAAGGATAACCTTAACAAAAAGCAGAGAACACAGCAGCAATAATAATGATAATTCCATATTCAACAGAGCTTTGGTTAATCTTTTAGGACTAGCTTATATGACACAGCGACGATGCGCAACGGAATTCAACGATATTGAGAGAAACTTCGATGCGTTCAGTCGCCTCGGGCAGTCTTGAGGCCGCGTTAAAGGAGGAGGCTTAGCTAGTCACTGAACTTTATTTAATTCCTAGTTTTTATAGCAAATGACATCACCCGATATCCCTAGAAATAAAGAGAAGAAACATGCACATTTTATTTTATTTTTTTCAATTTTTGTTGATACGAATAATGATTTTTTTTTTCTAAAGTGTTAAAAAATTCCTTTGTGAACTCTCAGGCGTGAGTATTTCCGCGCATTTTTCAACGTGACGAAAGGTTTATTTTCTCGGTAAGCGAACTTTCTGCAGAGTTCTTTTTGGTTCTTCTCAGGGGGATTAAATTTAAGAAAATGTATGATGAAAAGACAAATGAATGATACTGATACCGATAATAATAATTAACATCTATGGATATTGTTTTCCTAATATCGTCACGACCCGTTGCAGAAAAAGCAGGAGAGGAGAGGCGAGTTGAACACCACGGATTTCTTTGGTTTTCTTTTACTCATTCTCTATTCCTATTTATTTATTCATACTTTTGAGTTCCAGGAACTTTTTCTGTTACAGTTATATTATTTGCATTTATATGTGGTTCATCACACACACAAGTATATACACACACATATATATGCATATATATGTATATGTATAAATATATATGCACATATAGATGTGTAAATTCATGTATATACATAAACACACACACACACTCACACAATATATATATATATATATATATATATATATATATATATATATATATATATATATATAGTATATATACAAATAAGCATGCATGTATCATTAAGTGAATATGAATATATATGTATAGATGCATATATATATATATATATATATATATATATATATATATATATATATATATATATATATATATATATTATATATACATGTGTATATATATATGTGTGTGTGTTCACACAGTATATGTATGTAAAATTTAGTATCCCAAACACAGAAAAAACATAGACAAACAACAACAAAACTTAAGGTAAATGATAGGTAAAATGGTGTAATTTTTGGCATCCGACATCGCGGGCGTCTCAAGGGTAGGACATCTTGCCTAGCGGAGGCAGTATCGATCACGACGCCGAAAGGAAACCAGCTACTCGCTGCTCCACCTGTGCCTTTTTTCCCATTTTTACTGCGTAGTGTCCAAGTGGGCTGCTGTCATCACTAGTTCTGACAGGTATTTATGAAAGGGAGGTGCCTACGTCCATATACAAACTTCTGAGGGAAATCTGACGGGACATTTGCGATCCAGGCGAAGGAAATGTAAAGAATGATAGTTTCTGATTTTTATTTCATGCCGACGGAGTACCTGTTGCTCCGTCAGTTAACGCTGTGCAGGATTTTGCGGTTTTCCCCTCCTTGCACTCACGGTGTTGTTGGTGAATGCTTTCATATCAAGACAAAATATGGTCTGTCTCCAAAGGAAATAATGATAACAAAAACACCAATGATAATTCATGTAACCAGCTGTGGCCATAGGCATTTGGAAGTAGTGTTAAGTAAAGAAAACAAAAAAAACAAGCAAAAAAATAAAAAAAAAGGCTTGTAAAAGCAATGGAAACATCTTTTCAGGAATGTTGCAAGACCTTTACATGATACGAAAGCGATCGATTGAAAAGGGCAAGTGCAACGTCGTATTCTGTTTGGCAAATCGATATGTTTCACTAATGAGGTAACGCCATTTAAACGAGGATAAGAAAAAAAAATATCGATAATCGTCATTTTACACACTTTTTATTTTGTATTTAGTATTAGACATGCGAATTTTACTGTTCTAGTATTTAATTTTAGTATTTCGTATTAGACACCCATTGTATAGGATTTCCTCCTTTATAAGCATTTTCCTTTAAATATTTTCCTCTGCACTCAACCACCGAGAAAATCAATCGATGGGAAGTCAGTCGGTATAAATTTCAAGGCAACGAAAGCAAGGTAAACACAGCAAGGAAGTTGTACATTACAGTAACACGTACGACTGGCTTCATTAGCATGGTTCATACATGTGTCGACCCCAAGGCTGGTGCAGAGCTGAAGGAAGTTCCCTTCGTCTGGCATATCGATGTAAACTAATGATACTGTTGTCAGTTAACCTCATCTCTAGAATTCTCCGTTTAATCTTTCTTCCTTTGTTGGTTTTACAGTCTATATATGTGTAAAAAACTAAGACTTTGTAAATCTATAACGGTCTACTTTCTGTTTTTTCTTTATTTGTATTTAGGAAATGCGGCCGATGGCCTCACATGAATGGCTTGTCCCTGTGAATATTAAAAGGGATATCATCACATATGCATAGAGTGTGTGTGTGTGTGTGTGTGTGTGTGTGTGTGTGTGTGTGTGTGTGTGTGTGTGTGTGTGTGTGTTTGTTTGTGTGTGTTTGTTTGTTTGTGTGTGTGTGTTTGTGTGTGTGTGTTTGTGTGTGTGTGTGTTTGTGTAAGTGTGTGTAAGTGTGTGTATGTGTGTGTGTGTGTGTGTGTGTGTGTGTGTGTGTGTGTGTGTGTGTGTGTGTGTGTGTGTGTGTGTGTGTGTGTGTGTGAGAGAGAGAGAGAGAGATTCTTAGTTTTAAAGATAAAGCACATGTAATGTACACATCTAAACCAATGATTACAGACCAAATGCCTCATGAAATCAATCCATTTCAGAAGGAGTGCTCTCGTCTTGGCTCATCCCCCCACTCCCCAACCCCCCCCATTAATCATGGGCTCCACCAACAAGATGTTTTACCTCGGCGAAGGACCCGAGAACGGCTCAGCATCACCGGAACAAGCAGGCCCAAGCACCCCGTCATACGAAGAACCCCCGCCGAGCTATGCGCAGTCACAAGCCGGCTCTTCATTACCACACGCAGCCCCGAAATATCCACAGGCACTCCCCGGTCACGTACAGCCACTCACGCCACCGCAAGCACCTCTTCAGACGGTATCGGGACAAGTACCAGTGCCAAGGGGTCACAGCATCTACAGAGCGATGGGACCCACGCCCTCTGTCTCGGGATTGGTGAGTTCGAGCTTCGTTCTCTTCGAAAACTCGGGGGATATTTGGAAGAAAAGTGATAGAGAAATACGGGGGTAAAACTTTTAATTTTTATGTTTGTTGGTTGACTTTTTTTTTCGTTGAGATTCTTGTAATTGTTATATTATTCGTTACGTTTTTTTATTTCTTTTCTTTTTTGAGAATTGGGGAGAAGATAAGAGACAGGGAGGGAGGGAGGCAGAGAGGTAGGAAGGGAAGAAGCAAGAGGAGGAGGGAGGGAGGGAGAGAGGTAGGAAGGGAAGAAGGAAGAGGAGGAGGGAGAGCGAGAGAGGGAGGGAAAGGGAGAGAGCAAGAGGGAGGAAGGGAGGGAGGAGAGGAAGAGGGGGTTAGGGAAGGGTGGAGAGAGAGAGAAATTGTGTAAACTAGTCATGAGTAATGCCTTTACGCCATTCCATTCCATTAAAATTTCCCAACACACACACACACACACACACACTCGCACTCACACACACACACACACACACACACACACACACACACACACACAGAGCACATGACTTCCAACGTTATTAATTTCTGTGTTTATTTTCAGGCAGGTGCGGATTACCCCCGACAGCCTCCTGTCCCATCATTGGTAAGCATAATCCCCACGTATCTTTTTTAACGTTATTCAGCTTTAATGAATAAGTTTAGTAAAAAAAAGAAATATATATATATTTATATAATTAAAAGAACACCAGAAGAATCGGAATTCTTATTCAAAAACTAACATTATCAACACAGGGAGTTAGCAAATATATACGTATCAGCAGAGCATCAGTGTAAATACTTCAGATATTTTAACAAGATAGATAACTAATTTAACAAAAATATGGTGGAGAGAAGTGCAGAAGAATGAATATTGTTGTCTGGTAAAACGTTATTACGAGATTTTAATTTATTAATTTATTTTGCTTACAGGTTGGCAGTGCAAGCTATCCTGGTCAGTTTACTAGCCTACAGGTGAGTCCTCTTTGAATTTTATCGTAAAGAGTTTTGTTTTTAAATAGTGGTATCATTAATTTAGATGCCTGAGTGTTCGATGCGTGACTGTGATTGGTCAAGGTACAGATTTTCATAGTAATAATTATATAAGCCACGCCCCTCTTTTGAATCTAAGTAGCTCATTGGTTCGTAGACTATGTTCGTTTTGCTTACCCTTTATTTACGCTAGGGAAAATTCACGTTTGTAATTATACGTGTACCTTTGTTTAGTAATGTTTAGAAGTGGGAACAGGAAAATATAAAATACTTCAAGGCATTGCTATTTTAAAGATAATGTTACAAATGTCATATATGTATCACAAGCCTTTTCACTGTTTTTTGTATCGAGTAGAAATTAAAAAGAAACACTTTTAATTCCCCCTCTAGAGCGCCAATTAAAAATATATTATGAAAATGTTAACGTTTCCATTGTCAGCACAGTAGAGGGATAGTCGCAAACTACAACCTCTGTTTGGGCAAACAAATATAAGCACATTTTATGTAATTCAACCGAAAATGAAACAAACATTGGCCATGACCCAGCCAATTACTTGGCTGTTGGGAAAGGGGCGTGGCTTATGATCAACTGGAATTAATGTTCGTGTTTAGGTTTAAAGCTCAAACCATTCGAATTTTTAAGGCGAAACTCAAAATGGGAATTAGAGCAAAGGTAAAAATAACTGGTGGATACATAAGAAGAGGTTCAAATTCAGTCTAATTTAGAGGTTCAAATTCAGTCTAATTTAGAAACAGTAGTGATTACAGTCAACGTAAATAGGAAGTATATTATGCTAGACCGAGTCTCCAACATGGGTATCAAAGAAGAAAAAAAAGAAGAAAAGGATGAAAATATTCTTAATTTTGTATTATTTCCATAAAGTCACTGCATGATACCATAATTCACCGATCAATGCACGCCAGTTCTAAATACCAAATAAAACATGCCCATTGTAACAGGCCATTTTGCAGCTTACTGATTGATGTTAGGTTCCAAGTCCCTTTGAAAAACTAAAATAGAAGGCCAGACAAAAAAATATATAAGAAAGCTTTAACCAAACGTAAATGAAAGTGGTCAAATTAAAATTCTGAAACGCGATTAATGAAATGTTATGGATGGAATTTGTGGACGATGAAGTTGCAATGACATCTGTTTAAATGGAGGTATTTTGCAGTAGAAGACTGAGGTAATGACATGATTAATGACATTTACCTAAACATAAATAACAAGAGACCAATAATCGGGAGAAGAGTTGTTTTTTCTGTGAAATGGAATTAACAGATATACTATATATCTGGTCTAAGTACGGTTTTATGTGGATCACGAACACTCATTAATACACAAATTAAAATAATCTTTAGAAAGAGTAAGCATAGTCAATAAAGACAATAAGTATATTTAATAGGCACTTCTGGGTTTCTGTATGCAAAGTAATATTAAGTTAATAGTATGGCAACCTTTTAGTTGAAATCTAATCATGCACGACCCATGGCCATGAATAGTTCTGCAAATACTTGTTGCCTATTTACATAGTATATTAGATCGACCCCCCCTTATCTACATGGAATAAACACGAAAAAAGTGGCTCAGCCTTCGGATATAAGGCCCCGGGGATATATGTGTAATTTTGGGGGAAAGTGCGTCTTATGTACCGTCAAAATCGGCCATTTACTGTCCACGATTTTTAAGTTTGATCCACGGTTTTGATGATGTTCTTAGTGTTCATCATTTGATTTACTGTGGAATGGTTATTATACACAGATTCAGCCTAAATTTTTCATAATCAAATTTTGCATTGTTATTACTTGACCAAAAAACAAAAACTAAGAAAGAGATAGAAACATTGTGTCCGAGAAACGTAAACAACGAATTACTGCTTCATTTTAGGCACACAGGCTTGGACTGCTTAATAAGAAGCCGGCCCCTTGCTTCTAAATGTGTTATTCTGTGTCACTGTCTGTCAGAATAGGAACAGTTATTACCTGGGATCTCATGTAATTAGAATGACAATGACAATGATGATGACTTTGATGGTGCCTGTCATAATGGTGAAAACATTTTTAAGTTATTAACAGTAATAATGAAATTGCAAATATTTATGATGATGTGACGATATGCTGATAACTGTATCCATGATTCTGATATTCTTGTCAACTTTTATGTATAGTAATACAAATTATAGTGAGGTAAAATGTACAAGATATTGATGTTATGAATTTTAATCATAGGCAAAATCAGTATTGTTAATAGAACCACTACCATTATTACCGCAGTTTCTCCTTTGACTATCATTATTGTTCCCTCTCCCATTCTTTATCAACAATTTCTTATTAGTTCTTCATGCTCTCACAACAGAACGGCGCCCCTGGTTCCTCTGGGCCTCCTCCCCCTCCTCCCGGATTACCTGCAGAAACCAACACGAAGAAGAGATCGACTTGTATTAAGGTGTCTGGAGGCTTAGGTTTTGCCATCTTGGTAATCTGGATGATATTCCGAGTTTTCCTTCGCGTTTCAATCGTGGATACGTAAGTGGGTGGTTAGTGTTGCTGTTACGTAAATGGGTGGTTAGCGTTGCTGATACGGTTAGTGTTGGGTCAAAGAAAAGGAATGTTGGAACGCCAAGATGGTGCATTTGGTAACAGTTCTTGTGACTTACTGTTATGCTATAGGCCTTTGTGTGTGTGCAAGTTGTACTAGGGGAATGCAAGCATCTGGAAAGTGGTAGTGTATGGAGTGTACTTAGAAGTTAGCAACTGTGATTTGCCAGTACTTCAACAACTTCAACAACCAGTAATAAAAAATGGTTATAACACACTATCGAGAAAGCCAGTAATTGGAAAAAATGGTAATTAGATGTTGTTGAAGAAGCCAGTATTTGAATTTAAAAATGTTATACTAATACCTTTATATATATATATATATCAACTGACATTACTGTTGAAATGTGTGTGCGTTTCTGCGTGCGTATGTTTGCAATTAAAGTTCTGATTGTTGTAATAATGAAACGATAAGGTTCCTAATGTTATGTAGGTGTTAATGCTATGCTAAAACTGCATGTGACTCAACCTGAAAAGTTATCTCTTGATTTTATTTATTGTAAATAGTTATAAGATTCTATTTTTAAATCAATGTATTTTTTTGTATAAATGATGGTTCTTTAATAATCTTTCCTTCATAACAATCCCTTATTTATGTACCTATATATACAAAGATATATCATACATAATACATGATAAATAAATGTATATTTGTGTGTGTGTGTGTGTGTGTGTGTGTGTGTGTGTGTGTGTGTGTGTGTGTGTGTGTGTGTTATGTCATAGCCCTAAGGAATAAATAAAACTAGGAAAGGTTCTGTACATTCCACCATTCATCTTGGTCAGCGAGTTTCTAAAAGTTCTCGAAGCTCTCACTTTAGCAGCAACCTACTTCTCCCAAATCTCAACAACAGATAAGTTACGTTAGGGAGAAGAACCGATTTCTGGCTGATCTTCGGACGAGAAATCCCCAATTCTTCCTTCCAAACTTTCGAACTTCGCAGAATCACATCAGGTTCTTCCATGTCTAAGAGGAGAGGCTTTGGCTGCATTGAAAACCAGGAGCTTATTTTCAGACCCGATGAAATGGCGAAAATCATTCGGCTTTTTCTGCCACAGGACGAGTTCATCACGACCGCCGAGCAAGTGGCGAATGGAGTTAATTCGATGCTGGGCGCTGAGGGCAGAACGAGCTCTTAAGGGCCAGCTCTATATAAGTACTTATATAGACCTTGCCTGAGGGTGCATCTGAAGTCCTCGCATGGCCTGGAAATTCAACAAGACAACGCCCTGCTCCTCCTGAAGAGACAATCGGCTTCGTCTTCGGTACGGTGTTCTCCCAAATCTCAACAACAGATAAGTTACGTTAGGGAGAAGAACCGACTTCTGGCTGATCTTCGGACGAGAAATCCCCAATTCTTCCTTCCAAACTTTCCAACTTCGCAGAATCACATCAGGTTCTTCCATGTCTAAGAGGAGAGGCTTTGGCTGCATTGAAAACCAGGAGCTTATTTTCAGACCCGATGAAATGGCGAAAATCATTCGGCTTTTTCTGCCACAGGACGAGTTCATCACGACCGCCGAGCAAGTGGCGAATGGAGTTAATTCGATGCTGGGCGCTGAGGGCAGAACGAGCTCTTAAGGGCCAGCTCTATATAAGTACTTATATAGACCTTGCCTGAGGGTGCATCTGAAGTGCCTTGCATAGCCTGGAAATTCAACAAGACAACGCCCTGCTCCTCCTGAAGAGACAATCGGCTCAGAGGCGATGGCCTTTTTGGTATTTTTTTTCAGTAATGGATTACCGTAAGAAGAGAAAAGGGAAATGGAAGAAAGTCTTATAAGGCCGGTATCGAGAGGGAACCCCTTCTTGGCGCCTTCAGAGGGAGTGGAGAAAGAGAAATGTTTTAATCGACCGCATTTCAGAGAAGAAATACCTTTGGAGGTCTTCATCATGAAATGGAAACCGTTCATGCAGACCCTACGTATATATGTGATTGTGTGTGTGTGTGTGTGTGTGTGTGTGTGTGTGTGTGTGTGTGTGTGTGTGTGTGTGTGTGTGTGTGTGTGTGTGTGTGTGTGTGTACATACATTTATATATAAATGTATTGATGTATGTATACATGTATATGTATATACTACAAATGTATACATTATATATATGTATATATTCACATACTAGTGTACACATAAGTATATATACATGTATATATATGTATATATGTGTACAAATATATATAAATTCACACATACGTACATACAAACACACACACACACACACACACATACATTAATACTGGGATTCAATCGGATGCCTATACTCTGTGAGAAAGTATTAGACCATAGAAAGGAGCTCCATGTCTGCTTTGTGGACTATGAGAAAACTTCTGATAGGGGGGACTGAGTTAAAACGTTGGATATTTTGAAAGACCTTGGAATAGACTGGCGTGACAGAATATTGATATGTGAAATGTATATGAAGTAATAGGCAGTGGTCAGAGCTATGAATGAGGAATGAGAGTATTTCACAATACGTAGAGGAGTTCGACAAGGCTGTACACTGTCTCCTCTGGTATTTTCAATCTATACAGAGAGGGTGATGGTAGAAGGACTACATGCTATCGATGAGAGAGTGAATGTTAGAGGTTTGTAGATGATCAAGTCATGATTGCTGAAACTGAGGACGGAATACAGAGAACAATGGACAGAGTAAAAGAGTTATCACATAAGTATGGAATTAGTGGAAAGAAGACAAAGGTTAGACAAGGTGGCGGTGTTGTGAATATCACTCACAATGGTGAAAAAAAATGAACAAGTTGTAGAGTTCTTTGGGATCATAGATAACTAACGATGGGATAATGTGGTCCGGATATTAGAGGAAGAACTGCAATGGTAAAGGCAGCTTTTAGTAGAGAGAAAGAAGTGTGTAGCAGGAATAT